CTCCTCCGTATCGCTGCCTTTGCGCTTACTCCTGCCTCGGTCGCGCTTCGACTCGCGCTGTTCACGCTCACGCTCGAGCCGCTCGCGCTCGGCTGCGGCGGCGGACTGCTGCGACGCGAGCTCGTCCTCGAGGTCTTGCGCTGTGAAACTCCTCCCGCGAGCGAGGAGCGAGGGCCGCCGCTGGCTTCCCGTCGAGGACATGCTGCGCGCACTCCCGCCGCGGCGCATGGGCATGCCCAGGCCTAGGCCGCCGAGACCCAGGGCGCCCTGCGAGTGCGTCGGCACGGGGCGGGACTGTGGCGCTGACGAGGGCCCACCGAGGCTCACGGCGCGCGAGAGAGGGGGTGGCGCCTGCGGGGCAGAGGGCTCGCGCGCACTCGCCTGCAGCGTGTTGCTGAGCCGCTGGGCGCGCGAGAGCTTCTCCCGCTCGCGGCGTTCGAGGTCCGACTCGCTCCCGCTCAACTCGGAGAGCGAGTCGCGCGAGTCGGTCCGCTTCAGCTGGTTGCGCCGTGCGAGGCGTTCCTTCCGGCTCAGCTTTGTGTGGTCCCTGTCGGCTGCCCAGCGCGTGTCCTCCAGCGCCAGGTGGGTCAACATCAGTCGCGTCTCCTCCCACGTGTGCGGCCAGCCCTCGGCGCGGAGGGGATATCCGCTGTCTGTTGAGAAGGAGGCGTCGGCGTCGTCCGACATGTCCGACTCGGACTCGGAGCGCGGCAGTCCGGAGGGAGAGGGTTCGGACGAGTCCTCCATGGCGACAGAGGCGTGCCGGTACGTCACGATGATGAAGGTTGCCAGCTCGTCGAGCACGTCTGGCGGCGGCAAGGCCCCGGGAGGGTAGTGCAGATCGTCCCTAGGCGGTCGCGCTAGGATCATCTTGAGTATATCGAGCTCAGCGGGGTGCCAGTCTTCCTCGCGCACACGCTTGCCCGTCACGGACGGAGGCGTAAGCGCCAGCCCGATCGAGAGACCGGAGACGTCCGGCGTGTGCGGCTCCGCGACTCGGGGAAGAGACATCGGCTGGAGATTAGCTTGCAGCGCAGGACTCGGCAGCTGGAACCAGTGCAGTTTTAAAGGAAGGCTGCCCGCACCACGGGCCACCTCGATCGCCGGTGGAGTCAAGGTTGCGCATCACCAGCAACACAACTCCTACCTCGCACATTTCAGAAGACCGAGGAAGGAATGACCAGCTCCATAGGCACCGGGACGCGAGTGTCTCCTCGCGACTGAAGGTACTGTCACGCAGTCCTCCTTGCCCGCGTCCCTCGACTTCGGCCCACTTCACAATGAGGAGGCGTCCGAAGGCGCTGGGTCAGGAGAGGGGGGTGACTCACCAGATCAAAGACAGGGGTGTTGGGCCCGCTCGGTATGGCAGCGTCCTTATTTATCGGTATGGTGAGGTTGTGCGCGCGTGACATGTTGCGTCGTCGTGGTTGGCGAATCTTGTCGGATCTGAAGGAGTGTGGGGTGTTGTGGAGCGTGTTCGCTCGCTTGCTGGGTACTGGCTGATAGATACAGGTGGTGGTGACAGGTGACAGGCGGACAAGCAAGGACAGACAGGAAGCCAAAGTCGGTGAGAAAGAGAGACAGTCGGTGATAATGCAGAACAACAAGTGAGCGAGCCAGCTAGCGAGGTGGAAGGTAGAGAACTGTCGTGACGCCGGCGAGAACGAAAGGGGGGAGGTGCGCGTAGGGATCGTCAGAGATCCGCGGCGGGAATCGTTTCGTCGGCGGATCGGTCGAATCGGTCGAATCGGTAAGCGGGGCGGGCGACAGGCGCAGCCACTGTCGAAGTGGATGCGATGGAAGGGATAAACGAACAGGAGAGAGCGATGAAAAGTAGACACAAAGAAAGTGGGCGATGAACGACGAGAAGATGAAAGTGAGATTGAGGCTTAATGGATTCCGGGATCCGGACAACGGCTCCAACAGTGTATTCCCTTAGTGTGAGACGCTCCAGGTGCCAGCGAATGCTCCGAGGCACAGTGGTCGGAGTGGGTTTGTACGTTGAACGCGTTTGGACGCCAGGGTTCGTGGTCTGCACCCAGCACCCAGATTAAGAGATCCACTGCAAAAGCATTCCCTGACTCTCTTACGCCTCATCTTCAGCGCAGATGACGTTGACGCGACTCGAACCAGCCGGATTTGCCCCTGACCATTCACTCTGTCTAAATGACAGCCACAGCCGTAGTCGCGAGCAGTCCCCCTTTTCTGGGCTCCAGAACTCTCACACAGCCCAGGACACTTTGTTCGCATGCCATTCAGTCCGTGTGCGTGGGCACACTTGGGCAACACTTGGGCGCAGTTGAGCGTGTGAGTGTGCGACTGCAGCAAACAGCAAACACGACAGCCATTCACGGAATGAGTTGTAAGCTTTGGAGAGTGGAAGTGTGGAGCAGCGCGCAGTTGACGAAACCCATCACGCAAGAGACGTAACAGACGCACTCCTGGGTCCGGCTGAGTCGGCTAGTCAGGTGCTGTATTGTGCGTCAGCTCGTCAGATGACATATTATACCATTGCCATTGACAGACGCGCTCATGTACAACGCGTCGATCCGTGACTCACCTCGCTGTTCCGTTCCTCTGAGCGTGACACATTCACTCGCACACGACCTCCCTCGCATGCGCTCAAGTGGTGTTCTGAACGTTGCGCTAAAGGAGGGGATTCCGTGCCGTGGCGTTATCCGCAGAATGGCCCGCAGAATGACGCCTGTTGGAGTTGTGGGAGCACCTTAGAGTTGTGCCCGTCGGAAGCGTATTCCTCTCACTACTGGTCAGGCGGCTGTTTTCTTTCTCCCATCCCAACTTTTGACAGAGATTGAGGCACATCTACGACCGTGCTCGTCAGACGGGACCTGTTGACGAGCCGACCCTTCACTCCTCAGTGTGTGCACGTTGCTGAAGACTACGAGAGCGAGAGCTGAGCGCACGGAAGAGAGTTAAGCTTCGTCAAGTAGACTCTGTAGACTCGGCGGAAGAACCTGAGCAACCCTTACGCCGTCATCTCTCGTTGTCTTCGCTGACCGCTGTTCTCCACGCAAGTAGTCTGCACCTGGAGAATAAGCGTTGACGGAAGCTGACTGCGGCCGAAGGCTTCCGCACGCTTCCGTCCTCAGACCGCTGGCCATAGCAGCGGTAGTCATGATAGGCGTACGTACGTACGTCTTCATTACCATGGCAGATGAAGAGTGTGATCATGTGTTTGCATGCTGTCGTCAGCTCTCGTACTCTCATGAGGTCGTAATGTGCGTTGCGGAGAGACGAAGCTGTAGCCGGGCAGCCTTCTTCCCTTCCCTCCCCTAGGCTCCTAGGCTGTGACGGCTCCACCACAGTAAGTCAGCCCACTGACAACCCTGGTGCAGATTCTCATGCTTCCCAGACACAACAAACAAACAAAACAAAACAGATGGAGGAATGCATACTTTTGGTGTTACGAGTGACAATAGGATAGGGAGTGACGGTGTTACAGTGGACTTCCTTTTGAGTCTGGACTTGGGTAGTGGGTGGTGGTACAACTGACATGAGATTGTGCTCTTGCGTTCTTTGCTGTCATTGCAGTCTCCGAGCAAATATAGAAGGGAGCGCGGGGGGACGTGTGGGATGTGTTTTGGGTCGTGCCCGACCTCACGGGTCGCGGATACGGTAATGGGTCTGGCAATTCAGTCCTGAAACGAGTGTCGGGAAGGGCTTGAGTGAGGGCTGGGGTGCGTTTCGTCCAGCAGGTTTCGGTGTCGCGAAATTGCTTCGTTGCTTCTGTGCTGAGCGTCGCTGATGGGTCTGATGTCTGGGCAACGGTCACAAGCGCGCTGAATGCTGGGTGCTTGGCATGGGTGATGGGGGTCGATGGGAGAGTGTTGACGAGGTGATGGCGAGGCCCAGATAGCGCGGACCTAACTAGCCACCATCATGACCTTTTGCGCAGTCTGGCACACCTTCCCCGCCAGCAGCAGTGTGCCCGCCTTGAGCCGCTCCAGCTCCTCATTCGCCCCCTCATCATACCTCCCAGCGAGGGCGTATGCCTCTCCTAGCCGGCGGAGGAGCTCGACGAGTCTGAGGCTAGCACGGCGGAACACAGTGACAAGCGCAAGTGGGCGGGAGAGGTGTCCTCCCGCAACGAGCAAGTCGAGCACGGCAAGGTTGTAAAGCTGCACGTCGAGGAGCAGCGCCCCGGTGACAGGACACAGTGTCCGGGGTTGCGGGGTGATGAAGAGTGCTGTGCGGTGCCTCCTCACGACGTGCGAGGGGAGGACTCTGCCGTCGAGTTGCATCCCGAACGCCGTCGCGCGGAACACGGGCAGGAGCGCCGGTCCAATCACTATGCCGTCGCCGTCACTTCGGCTCGAGCGCGTCGAGTCCGAGTCGGACGAAGGGGAGGCATACTCGTCGATAGCAATCTCCTCGACCGCGCCACAGTCGTAGTCCTCCACTGCGTCTTTGGCGTAGTATCCCTTTGTTGTTGGCGGGGGTGGAACGCGGACGGTAGCTTCCGGGTCGGGCAGCTCACCCGTCATTGCCGCCCGGATTGTGCCCGGTCCCATGGCCTTGCGCCGCCGCCGCGGCGGAGAGCACAATGTGACGGAGGAGGCGTCCCAGGCCCGCGAGATCGAGGAGACGGGGAAGGCCGCGGTCGTCATGGTGCCGAGAGGAGCCGAGAGGAGCCGAGGGGGTGGTCGACTGGAGCGACAGAGTCGTAGGCCGTGTCGGTGGGGTCGACTGGCTAGCGTCGGCTGAGCGGGTAGTTGTGATGACCAGTGAAGAGGAAGAGTGATGGAGTGATGAGAAATCAACACACGAGAATAAGTATACAGCACATGCGTCTCGCTATTCTCAGACGCGCCCGCTGACCCGCATGCTTCGCACTCATTTCAGCCAAGGCGCAAAACGGTACAAGGCGGCAGGCGTCGCAGCATGCGGCGCAGGTGAACCAGTCTCAGAGCTTGGCTGGGCGGCCAGCGGCCAGCGGCCAGCGTCTGCCGCAAGGTACAAGCCCCATGTACCGACGCGTCGTACCTACAGTACGTACCTGCCTCACATTGCGAGGTGTGATTGCCTGATTTGTCGCTCGTTGTAACCCTCGTAACCCTCTTTGATGATCCTTGCAGGCAGCGGGGTGGTAAGGTTTCCTTGTCGTACTCCCCGACACAGTCCTGATATCCTGATTCCAGCTGTTCCAACGTTTAATCCGCGGTGCACCGGATGCGACGGATGTGGTAATGGCTTAATAGATACTCTTACTATTCTGCTCCAGTTATGTATGTACTTTGTCTTGCTCCTTTTGTGCGCCTTGTTAATCTCCACTGCCACGGCTTGCGCGGCGCTCAGCCCAGTACGCCGCGACACACCAGTTGGCCTCTGCCGGGATCCGATCCTGGTATCCAGTGAATAGCACCCATTCACCCCACCGGGGTTCGTCGGGGACCTCAAGGTCTTACAGATGCGCCTTCCAGACCCATCCGGCCGGCCTCCAACGGACAAATCATCGTTAGCTGCTCGCTCCCTGGTTTCATTTGTCTCGCCCGTTTCATCTGCTCTTCATCTGGCGTCCGGTAGACTTAAAGGAACGTCAAAAGAGCAGTGCAATCATGGCTATTCAACGTGATCAAACGACTGTAGGGAAATCCAAACAAATACATGTCTACTGTTACTATATGTCTGCTCCTGCCCGAAGTGTGTTCGCTCCATGCGCTCACGCTTCGATGGAGATGGGATCGGTGGGCAGTCTCGGCTCGCGGTCCGCGGCTCACTGCACCCGCGTAAACCTCGCCTACTGCTGCTTCGCGCGCTGCTGCTCGTGCACCTGGATCGCCTCGTCAACCCACGGGAGGTGGAAGATGTCTGAGCGCCGGAGGTCCTCCTCGCGGATGGAGCCGCCGTTGACGCCACTCTGCCCAATCTGGTACCCGAGCATCTGGTCGAGATCACGAGCCTGCGCCGCGAGCCAGTTCTGAATGAACGCGTGCGGGTTCGCGGCGAAGGACTCGAGGAAGTCGCGCTTCTGCTTCAGGTCGCGCGCAAAGTAGGCAAGCTCGCCGACCTTGTCCTCCAGCTTGGTAATCTCGTTGCCGACACCGCCCTCAAAGTTCTGCACAATCGTCGCCATCTTGCTCTTCAGTGGGTCCTCGATCTCGAGCGGAATGTCGAAGCACTGCGGGTGGAACGTCGCCTCCTTGCTAACGTCGATCTCGTAGGGAATCACGATCGGGTCAGGGTGCGCGAGGTAGCGGGTCACCAGCTCCGGAATCTGGTGGAACTGCACACCTTCGGCACCCGGCTGCAACAGCTTCTCGAGTCCGCCGATCGGCCGGATCAGCGTCACGTCGTCCTTGTCCTGCGCTCCCGAGGTCTTGACGAGCTGCCAAACCGCCTGGATGATCTCTGCACGCGTGCCTTCCCGGATCGAGATGAGGTCGCTGAGCGGAGGAAGGACCTTGAAGCGCTCTGGGGAGTGGTTCAGGTGCAAAATGATGCGCGCCTTGACGTTCTGGTCGCCGCGGCGCTTGATCTCGAAGCCATCGAGAGGCTCGGCTGTCGGGTCCGGGTGCCACTCGACAATGTTGCCCTCGGGGAACGTTGGCGCCTCGCGGTTGTCAAACTCGACGACGACGGAGCGCAGGAACGACGAGAATTTGCGCTTCTGCTTGTCCAGGCGGTGGTTTCCAGTCTGTGGGTTAGATAAAGCCGGTCTCCATACATCTACTCACGTCAAGCAAGCGGCCTTCTATCCTCAGGACCCATCCTGCAACACCGTTGCCCGTCTTGACGTCCACTCCCGGGGGCGCGCCCGCCGTCGAGCTGCCCTCAGCCTTGTTCTCCTCGCCCTCCTTCTTCTCTCCCTCTCCGCCCTCCTTGTTCTCTCCCTCCTTGTTCTCGCCATCCGTCTTCTTCTCCTCTCCCATCTGCACGTCGCCGTCCTTCTCTCCGCTTGATCCAGTCTGCCACGGCTGGTTGTGAACCGTGTTGCTGAGGAACACGCGCAATGTCCGCTTCACGCGCGTCGAGCGGCCGAGCGCGTCGTTGATCTCAGCCTTCTTCCGGAGCAGCGTCCAGTCCAGCTTCTGTTCGATCTTCATGAGCTCCGTGAACGCGGGCGAGTCGGGGACGAGCGACTCGAGGATGTGCGGCGGCGGGAGAGGCGGACGCGGGTGTTTTCTGCCGTCAGCTAACCATGGCGGTGCATAAAGCTGTCCGATGCGCGGCGACCGTTGACATTCGTTGACGCAGCTCGGCGCTGAAGAGCTACTCACAATCTCCGGATAGCATCCACGTCGGTGTCCGCCGGGCGCTTCAGAACCTGGCCCAGGGGCGCCTGGCCGGGTGCTGGCGGAACGGGACCGGGTTGCTGGGCCATCTGCGGATGTTGTTGCGGGTGTCCTGGTGGTGGTGCGGCCATGGTGATAGATGCAGTTGTATCCAGCACGCGTTCGTGACAAGTGGTTGTTTGATGAGGATAGCGGAAGCAGATTCCATTACACTTGAATGAACTCTCCTAATAGGGATTACAACTGGCGAACCCTTTGTTGATGCATTCACGGCTATGGTAGTTACGTAAGCTCAACCTCCACTTTCCAGGTTGCCGCTTTCAAAATCTTTGTGGAACGGCTAACGGCCAAGCGTCATCGTCAACAACTCAACCACACATCAGCACCATGGCGTCGGCTTACAAGGCGACCGAGAAGCTCTCGAAGGGCAAGAAGCGCGCTGCCGAGGACGACGCTTCGACCGTCGTCGAGAAGAAGCGCAAGGACAAAGTTCTCCTCCTCAGCTCGCGTGGTGTCACCCAGCGCATGAGGCACCTGCTGATGGACCTGGAGACGCTCCTTCCCCACACCAAGAAGGGTGAGTAGGCAGACGGGCTCATTCCGAAGGATTGAGCATCCTAATCTTGTGAGACTGGTGCTGACAGAGTCTCCTCTTATGTTGTTCGCACGATATCACAACTGCACGCTTCACTCCTACGCCGATCACTCCTCGTCGATTGTCTACTCGGACATGACTGCTCACTTGCTCCCTGACAACAGACTCCAAGCTCGACTCGAAGTCCTCGCTTCACCTCCTGAACGAGCTCGCGGACCTGCACTCGTGCTCGAACGCCCTCTACTTTGAGGCGCGCCGCCACGAGGACCTGTACATGTGGGCGTCGCGCACGCCCAATGGACCTAGCGTCAAGTGTCACGTCCAGAACATTCACACGATGGACGAGCTCAAGATGACCGGTAACTGCCTGAAGGGAAGTCGCGGAATCTGTGTGTTCGACGGCGAGTGGGAGACGAAGGAGGAGTGGAAGCTGCTGAAGGAGCTGTTCTCGCACGTGAGTGTGGTCCTTACCTTGTGCACTGCACAGAGAGGCTGTGTGCATGTCTCTCGCAAAACGAAGCTGACCCCAGATCTTCTCTGTGCCCCGTACGTCTCGCCGGCTGAAGCCGTTCATCGACCACATCCTCGTCTTCTCGATCCTGGACAACCGCATCTGGTTCCGCAACTACCAGATCATCGAGAAGGACCCGCAGCAGCCGAGCGGCCCGCCGCAGACGTCGCTCGTTGAGATCGGCCCCCGCATGGTCCTCACGCCCATCCGCATCTTTGAGGGCTCGTTCGGCGGACCGACCGTCTTTGCGAACCAGGAGTTTGTGTCCCCGGCGGCCACGCGCGCGAGCATCAAGCGCGCGGCGGGAGAGAGGTACCGCCAGCGCAAGGAGGGACAGGGCGACCGCGAGGAGCGCAGGCAGCGTGTGCGCGAGGAGTTGCCCGAGGACGAGCTCGCGAGGGACAAGGTGTTTGCTTAAGTGTTATCTTTATTCTGTATGCATTTGTTTACCTAGATGAGTGAGCGGTGATGAGTTGACTGTGAGCTCGATCGTCGGGCAAGCGTGCTTCTCTCACATGTCCGTGGGCAGCGTTCGAGCTCATGAGGAGCAGTGGACCATGTTGGTGTGCAGCACAATACGCTGGTCCAAGTCGAGAGCTACCTCATCCAGGCACGGTGCCACAGGGATGAAACGCCGGCATAGCTCCGGACATTAGGTGCCTGGCTTTGGAGTATTGAAGGAGGGTAAAGGAGATCGGATAAGTGGATTAGCGGGGGCAAATGTGGCCGCGTCTGTGTACCGTGCAGCGCGATAACCCGGTCACACCAAGGCGATAGGGTTGAGGGAAGGAGCAAGGGACGCAGGCTACTGTGGCTACGGTGAACGCACAGGCTGGGCAGGGCAGGGAAAGTGCATTGGACCACGCCCCTTTCCCTGACTTGGTAGACGCTGAGCGCAGCAGCACATTGAGCATGCTTGCAACCCACCCACCCACACCCACCCACCGTACGGTCCACCCACCGTACCACCTTGCTGCCAACACATCGCCTCCCGACCCTGCCGACTTCTTCCTCGACCACACCTGGCAATCACACTACTATCATCCTTACTCATTTCCTTGCTCCGTGCATATCACTATCCACTACCACCTTCATCCTCCTCCTCCTTTTTTGCGGACAACAACCTTAATCCCCTTGTCATCTACCTTACCCTCCCCTCCACATCGCCCCTCCATCTCAAACGCGTGTCGCCGTCCCTGCTCGATCCGCCTCAACTTCCATCCTCCCTCTTCCTCACTCGAACCACTCTTCCCTTTCCCAACCTCCTCTCTCTCTTGAACAACTCGCAACAATGGCTGAGGGATCCAACTACGACTACCTCTTCAAGGTGCGTACATATCGAACCGCTCATCCGGCCCAAGGTCTGCGGAATGCTGACAATGCGCAGGTCGTTCTGATCGGAGACTCCGGTGTCGGCAAGTCGTAAGTTAATTTCGACCAAGGGCTCGAGCTAGGGGGCTATCACTGGTACCGTACCGGCTGTACTGGCTATGCTCGAATGCTCCTACTACTTTCGTGTGCATTGTGCTGATCGCGTGCCCTCCCTCTTGACCGAATCCAACGCACTGAACGCCCTCCCTAACAGTAACCGTGAGTGTCGGCCGACCAGTCGCCGGGTCTGCCCGCAGGGCATACCGTCCATGAGCACAAACGTGCTGTGTCGAGAGTGATGAGAGCAACGCCGGCTGACTTTCCCAGTTCTCTCGCGTTTCACTCGCAACGAGTTCAACCTCGAGTCCAAGTCGACTATCGGTGTCGAGTTCGCCACCAGGAGCATCAACGTTGATGGAAAGACTGTCAAGGCCCAGATTTGGGACACTGGTACGTTGGAACCGGCAAACAAATGAGCGCTGAGCAAGGGTCGCCCTGTGTATGCGTCCCAAGCGTTCGTAATAGCGCTCATTTTGGCTTCTTCATGATCCGGCGAGCGACGCATAGCTGACAATGACCACAGCTGGCCAGGAGCGCTACCGTGCCATCACCTCTGCCTACTACCGTGGTGCCGTCGGTGCTCTGCTTGTCTACGACATTGCCAAGCACTCTACCTACGAGAATGTGACCCGCTGGCTCAAGGAGCTTCGCGACCACGCCGACGCCAACATTGTCATCATGCTTGTCGGAAACAAGAGCGATCTCAAGCACCTCCGCGCCGTCTCGACCGAGGAGGCCAAGGCCTTTGCGACCGAGCAGGGTCTCTCGTTCATCGAGACCTCGGCGCTTGACGCGAGCAACGTCGAGTCTGCGTTCCAGAACATCCTCACGGGTGAGTGAAGCTGAGTCAACTCTGTGCAAAGCTAACAGTTCAGACATCTACCGCATTGTGTCGTCAAAGTCTCTCGAGTCGTCTGGCGACGTGATCAAGCCCTCAGGAGGCGAGACCATCCTCGTCACGCCCACGGCCGACGACGGCGGTGCCAAGCAGGGCGGCAAGTGCTGCTAAGTGTTAGATCCGACGGGGTGGTGGGGACAAGGCTAAGCGTACGCTTTGTTCCATAGATTGTGATGCTGTCTCTTTCCCTCTCTCTCTCTCTCTCTCTCTCTCTCTCTCTCTCTCTCACTCTCGAATAATTACGAAACCAGAGTCGTCGACACCCACCCCCGCCCCGCCCCTGCCCGCGCCCTGTGCACAATGGTTTACGACTCTGTAATGGCGAGAGCGAGGCCGCGCTGTCGCTTGACTGGCTAGGTGCCTGTGATTTGAATGTGCGGTGATGTACTCTTAATGGACCAAGGAGCTGCATGCAGGGGAAGGAGATAAACGGAGCATTGTTGCAGAAGTCTGGCAGAGAAGTGTGCCGGTGTGCCAGTGTGCCAGGTGTCACGAGGCTGTTGTGCCAGTCTCAGGAACGAGAACGAAGTGGAGGGGAAGGGGTGGAGGCACCTTGTCAAAAGTCAGCCTTGGTGCCAAACAATAAACCTCGTAATCCCACTTATTCACGCAGCCAAACGATACGAGCATGCTCAAGCGAATCTGGAGCAGGCAGAGCGAGCCCCCGGTTCCCCCTGTTCCGCCGGATACTCCTACCTCCATTCACACCTCCACTGCCGTCGAGCCGGTCTCATCGGAGACGACACCGACAGTCGAGACCGGTCCAGAGGATGAGGGAGCACCAGCCGAGGAAGTACCAGCCGAGGGAGAAGGGGAGGATGGGGAGGAAGGAGAGCGAGATGAGGATAAGTCACGCGGCATGAAACGGCCCAGCAAACGCGCAACGGCGGCCGAGATGAGGGGCGAGTTGGCCAGATTGGGGCTGGAGAGTAAAGGCAAGCGCGAGACGCTGTACCGGTACGTTCTTCTGTTGTGCGGAGCGTCGTGTCCCCGCGGACTACCGCAGGGGCTTCCCACCGAACATCCCTACCCTCATGAGTTCCCTCTCCGACGTACCGACGTACACATGCGATTTGAAGGCAAAGTCAAGCAGACCCAGGAGATGCAGGAGATGAGGAGAGGGAGGTACTGGAGGGGGGAAGATGGAGATAGAGCAAGTTGAGTGAATGGCTGACGCCCAGACGCCTCATGAACGCGTACAACCAGCAACTCGAGGCTGCCGAGGCTGCGCGCCGCGCCTTAATCCCAGTGCGACCACCACGCCAGCCGTATCTCAGCTATCTCTGCTTTGACGTGGAGGGGACATGCGAGGGAGGCAAGGGGTTCGACTATCCGAACGAGATTATTGTGAGTCCAAAGTCCACTGCACACTCATCCTTTGGTCCTCGAGACTAGAGGTAGGGAAATTTGTCACGCTACAGAGATCTTCTAGATCCACAGCTGTTCGTAGGAGTACATAAAGCTGATTGACAGGAATTCCCAGTCGTGTTGTTACAATGGGCCGAGGACGATTCCGAGTCTGGCGAAAGGACGCGCAGACTAGTGACAGTGGACACGTTCCACTCATACGTTCGGCCGACGTGGCGGCCGAAACTGAGCGAGTTCTGCACAAACTTGACGGGGATACAGCAGGTGAGCTTTTGGTGCTTCTCCCTACTCTAGCTGACAGAGAGGCGACAGTCGATGCCGCGCCGACGTTTCCCCAAGTTCTCGTGCGGTTTGAGCACTGGCTCGATTCGTGGGGTCTCAGAGACGACGGGGGCGGGTTGAGGGGCGCGATGTGGGTGACTGATGGACCGTGGGATCTCCGGTGAGTTCCAAAGTTCAAAGTTCTCTAGGGAGAGCGAGAGCGAGATGAGCTGATAGATGGATGAACAGAGACTTTGTCCCGAAACAACTCCACATTACACCCACACCGTCCTACCCGGCATACTTCCAGGGCCGATACTTGAATGTCAAGAATGCGGTCGCGACGTATCTTGCAGATCGGGACAAGGGGCTGCGCGTGACTACTGGTCGAGTCATACGTGCGCCGAAAGACAGGGATGGCCCCCGCGCACTCAATATCCCGGGCATGCTGGATGTAATGGGTCTGGGGCGGTTTGATGGCCGGCAGCATTCTGGCATAGATGTGAGTACATCCCTGTCCTCCCTGTCCTCCCTGTCCTCCCTGTCCTCACTGTTCTCCTTCCTTCCTTCCTAACTCTCTCTTTCTCTCTCACTCCTCTGACCGGTCCCCTCCTTCATTCCCTCCCCTGCGTCTAAGCTGCATTGACCCTGGCCCAAGCTAACCCCAGGACGCAAGCAACATTGCCCGCATCGTCACGGCCCTAGCGGCCCGGGACGTGCTCATCGAGCCGAATGCGCGCCTGCCCATCCCCAAGAAGGCGCGGAGATGGGACTGGATGGGCGCCCCGGGCCAGGTGATCTGGGACGTGCCGCAGGGCCTATACGATGGCGAGGGCATGAGGCGGAAGACGGTTTATGACAGCGTCTCTTCTTCCTCCTGCCGCTCCTGCTCCTGCCGCTCCTGCCGCTCCTGCCGCTCCTGCCGCTCCTGCTGCCACCAGCGCGGCCGCCAATGCTGCCGCCAATGCCGCCGCTCAAGCGAACGAGGCAGGTGAGGCGGACACTGACGAGACGGTCCGCCGACTCCTGCGCGACCTCGCCGTGTCCTAATATCTTGTTGTATCCTATCCCCATATCCCCTCTTGTCCCATACCCTTCCTACCCATAGCTCCATCACGCTCACGCCACTATCCATGCATGCTGTATGCTCTGTATGCTCTGTCTTCTGTACTACACCTTGAACCGTCTTGATCCGCCGCGCGAGAAGAACGTCTTGAGGATCCAGACCTGGGCCCTGCGGATAGTCAGCCATCGTCGAACACCAACTCCGCAGCTCATCGGCCACTCCACTCTTCCCTATCCCACAGCCCACTGCGCTCCCTCGCGGCACACGGCACATCTGCCACTCGTCTGTCGCAGCTCGCCCCTGAGGGTTCACTCCGTTCGCCGCTCGCCGCTCGACGTTCGCTCCGCTCGCTCCAGCTACTGCTCGCCGCTCGTCGCTCGCTGCGCTCGCTACTCACAGACTCATCCCCACCACAGCCAAACACTCGAGAATGGTGAACCAGAAGAGACGCGACTGCGTGCTCACGACGGTGGAGTAGTTGCGGTGGTGGCGCGTGTGGAAGTACTTCTGCGTGCGCTGGATCGTCGTGAGCATCCCGTTCAGCTTGTACGAGGACTCCTCGAGGGCCGACGTGTGCTCGTTGATCGGCTTTTGGGACGCGGGGAGCACGCGCCGGGGCTCAGACTCGACCATGATGCTGTGTTGTTAGCTGGGGCCGAACGGAGGAGCCGAAGGCGACGACGGGGCCCGAAGCCTTGTTGTCGCGGCCCGAGGATCCAGAAGACCAGAGCCAGGGCGGGACCATGGCGAAGGACCAGCGAAGATCGCTCCGACTCGCTCGGCCTCCTTAGGAAGCCTCGCTACGTACTCGAAATCAATCAGCTTGTCCGTCGCGTCGTTGTTGAAGCAGAACGAGTACTCGCCCACCGTCTTGGCCGTGAAGATGTAGTCGCCCTGGCGCTCGTTGTCGCCCTCGAGGATGACCTTGTCCTTCGGGTCCATGACAGAGTACGAGATCTCAAAGTTGCCGCCGGACTGGACGGCAAAGTAGAAGCCTGTCGTCAGCTGTGGTCTCACAAGAGATGTGATGATAGCTTGTGCAGCGGCAGTGTCCAGCATTCACGTGTGCTGTAAAGCTCTGAAGCATTGCGGTGATGGCCCGCAGACATAGTCGCGTGAGAACAGCGCGATGGCAGAAGCAGCGCCTCGTCTAGTGGTCGGTCGATCGCTGTCGCGATCAAGCTCGGAACTCTATACTCACCGACCTTCTCGCCCGCTCCGTCCACGTCGGCATAGTAGCAGTTACGTTCGTTCGCATTGATGAGCGCCGTGAGGGCGGTAGCCTGCACGACGCCAGCGACGAGGAGCGCGGCGCCAATCGCCGAGCGCACCAGCATGATGTCCAGTCGAATGAGTCTTCCGCCCTTAAAGTCGTGTGCAACGCCGTGTCCTTCCAAAGATCGTGGCGCCAGGTCTAACGAACCGTCAAGGCAAGATGATTCTGGCGGTTTTAGGGTTGGTCGTGAAAGTCTGGTCGTGACCTGGTCGTTATGAGAAGATGAGGTGCAGGTTGTAAGGTTGCCGGCTAAGAACGCGAAACACCCAGCGACACGCCATAGGGTAGTCGCGCTGGCACCTGGCCACTCAGGTGCACAACATGAGCGATGCGTGGAATTACTGATCGTCCCTTATTCACTCCGCCCACTTTGCCATGCGTCATTGCAGTTGACGCTGTTCCTGGCGTGGCCACCAGGCATCTATCGCTCGCGACTGCTGTCGACACAGCACACCTACATCATAACCGCATCAACGTCGGGCAAAGCAGCGAGTGAGTAAACAGTTCTCTTCACTGGACTTGCATGACTGACCGCCACAGGCTATTCTACTGCCTTCTCTGCAATCTAAGGGCAGCTAAACCCACGACCGAAACTAGACTCGCACGACTGCCGATCCTCAAGACCAGGCTGTGTTATTGCGCAGCCCTCCCGCGCCCGCGCAAGTGTCCTGGCAGCTACGACTTCCATTTCTTCTCCTTAACACAACTTCCTGCTCATCTGCTCTCCCGCACCAGTGACTTATCGACACCATGTCCACCTGGGACAATGCGATCCGGCACACGCGCGCGCTCGAGAGTGCGCTCGACACGAAGCTGTCCAACTATTCCCGAATCGGCGCCGACATTGCGGGCGGAGGGGGCGTGTCGGGGGTAGAGGCGGCCGAGGAGGGTGTGGGCGGGTACAGACTGGTGGAGGAGGAGGTGGAGGAGTTGCTTGACAAGGTGGGTGTCTCCCTTGGCCTGTTCCCTTTGTCCGACAAGGGGCTATGTGTTGTCGAGCTGTACAGAGACCTGTCGAGCTAACAACCAGCTGGACCAGGCGCTCTCCGACCTGTCCTCGCACTGCAACGGCCCCACCCCGCCATCAACGAGCATGCAGAACGCGCTGTCGCGCCATCGCTCAAATCTCGACGACTACCGGCGCGACTATACCCGGATCAAGCGCAACATCGAGTCGGCGCTCGCGAAATCCGATCTGCTGGGCAGTGTCCGCCGAGACATTGACAGCTGCAAGGCCGCGCGCGCGAGCCAGACGGAAGCCCTGCTGGCCGACCGGGACCACATTGATGCGAGCCACCGCATGATTGACGAGATCACGGCAACGGCGCAGGCGACGCGCCAGGCCTTCTTCGAGGACAGCGCTACGATTCGCAACATCAATGCGCGCATGGGGAGAGTCGCGAATCAGATCCCGGGCATCAACAAGCTCATCGCTGCTATTGGCACGCGGAGGAGGAGGGATCAGTACATCATCGCCGGCGTTGCGGCCGCGTGTATCCTCTTCCTGCTCTGGTACATGTTTGGATAGACCGGGGGTTTCGCCGAGCTCTCGTGGTGAGAGGAGAGGCAGAGGCGCTGGGGCTAGGGCTAATGTAATAATCTGCATATGAGAACACTATGGTACAACTGGCTGCTGCTTGCTGCGCTGCGCCCTCGGGCCTATCGAAACTTAAGAGGAGGTGGTGTGTTTTCTACAGATGCGCAACTAGTAGTCGTCGCCCTTGGAGACAATCTCCTTGCACGTCGGGCGGAGGAGGATGGTGTGCTCGCTCTGCGCGGTCATGCATCCGGGCTCGGGGTCGACGAGGGGCGGGTAGTCTGCGACGACGCCCTGGCGGACGAGCTCGTTGAGGCCGAGGAGGTAGTTCTTCTCCCCGACGTGCTCGAGGTACCTGCGGCACCAGGGGAGGGTGCCAAAGTTCTTGTTGATGCTCTTGAGCAGGTTCTTCGCACTCTGGTGGCGCAGCGTGTAGTGTTCCGGCATCTGCGGGGAGAGCGCGTAGTGAGAGCACACGCCGTCCTCATACACCTTTCCGCGGCCCGTGGAGCCAAACGTCTCAATGGCAAAGTACTCGCCCTCCTCCATGCGCGTCGTGTCCTTGTGCTCGCCAAACTGCTTCACGATCGGGACCGACTTGCCGTGGCTCGTCGCCGTGCCGCCGTGGATGACGTAGGGCGTGATGCTGTGCCCGTTCAGGTTCCGGATGCTCTTGACGGGGAGCGTCTTGCCGCCGATCTCGACCTCGTAGCTCTCCATGACCTCCTGGATCGCCTCGCCAATGTCGCACAGCCGCACGTCGACGCCCGCCTCGGCGACGCCCGTCTTGGTCGCCTCGTTGACCGCCTGCAGCAGCGTGTCCCACTCGGGGTCGGCAAAGTTGAGCGTGAACGCACTGTCCACGATACGGCCCTTGACGTGCACGCCAAAGTCAACCTTGATGATGTCGCCCTGCTTGAGCTCCTTCGTGTCCCCCGGGTTGGGCGTGTAGTGCGCCGCGCACTCGTTGATGGACAGTCCCGTCGGGAAGCCGATACCGCTCTCGAATCCGTCCTCCTCGACCAGCGCGCGCGTGCCGTCCTCGATCATGTTGGCAATGTCAATCAGCTTCATGCCGGGCCGGATGTGCTTGCGCGCATACTGGCGCACCTGTCGGTGCACCTCGGCCGCACGACGGATGTTCTGGTAGTTCGTGCTGGGGTCGCCCTGCGCGAGACGCTCCTTCTCGCGCATCTCCTCGGACGTGATGCGGCTCGTCGTGTCGTTCTTGTACTCGACCTCCTCGCCGACGGGGAACACGCCGCTCCGGAAGATTTTGGTGAGACCCACACGCGGTGGGTCAGACTGCACCGCCGCCGTCTTTTTCTTTTTGGGCTTTTTCTTCTTCTTCTTCTTCTTGGCCGCGCCAGACGCTCCTTCTCCGCCCTCGCCCTCCGCCTCGTCGTCGTCGTCAGAGTCGTGCTCATCGCCGTTCTCGTCAGGTTTCGGCTCAGCCTGAGCGGGAGCAGCATCGGCAGCAGCCTCCTGCTTCTCCCTGTCCTCTAGGGACAGGTCCTCAACTTTGGGAACCGCGACCGGCGCCATGGTTGAGGTGGTGTCTGAGGTCAGCTAACAGCAATATTGGAAGCGTCGTGCGCAATGGGATCTCTCAGCGTCAAAAATAGTTTGTCAACTGTGGAGTTAAACTCCTGCTGAAGTCTAACATATCGTGGTGACGAACATCATCGAGAAGCACGGGAAGGTTGGGTACTCACTGGTCGTTGGGTCGTGGGTTATGCGATGAAGCAAAGGCCTGACGTCGCTGGGCTATTTCCTACAACCCTCGACGTAAAGACGAATTTTTACTCCCGCCCCGTGCTCGCACCAAGTTCCGGACCTGTTATTTCCCTCGGAGCTCGATTAAGAACAGGGCTAATGGGCAACCAGGTGATCAATTAGGGTTGCGGATTACTTTAGAAACTGCGCGCACATGATGCCACACAGAGTCTCATCCTCCACCCGAATTTTCGAGCTCGACGTCATCTCGACTCCGCTCAACAACAACAGCCATGCCGTCCATCTCCTTCAGTTACGCCGTCGCCCCGCCAGAGGGCATCACCTGCTCCACTCCCGCGACCAAGTCCCAGTCCGTCGACTTCACGCCGGGCAAGTCGGACCGCAGCGCCACGAATGCGTACTACGAGGCCGCTACGCCGGCTCTCCGTGAGGCGCAGCTGCGTCTCAACGAGCTCTTGACAGAGTGGAAGGACGCCGTCGGTGACGCCGAGAAGCAGAAGGAGGACCGTGGCAAGGTCGCGTACGGCAAGGGCAAGGCTGCGCGCCTCATGGAGATGGCGAAGAAGGACGAGGCGAGCGACGACAGCGAGGACGAGGACGATGAGGATGAGAGCGCCTAAGAGGAATTGCAGCGTGAGCTAACAACGGTTGATGATGAGCTAACGCCAGGCCACCCCACCAAGGACCATAAATTGTCCGCACATGGCCACACAGCGGCCGAAGCGATGACGCTTAGGCAATCTCAGTCGAAGTGAACGGCCAGCCGACACTACAGCTTCGGCCCACATCGGCCTTCATCGACGCTCCAGCGGCCCTCCGGAGCTCCTGATAACAGTATTCTGGGCACTATCGGTTGTACACCAATGTATTTTGATATCCGAACAGGCGGCGCACATGTCCACATGAGCTGATGATGAACCTTCAAGGCGTGGCAGGCAGAGGGCTGCGCCGATCTATCGGTCCCACGGCCGAATCGGCACGGCGACCTCCGGGATGTGCGGATCGTGCGGCAGAAGCATGTTCTGGGCCAAAAGAGGCTGCGGCATGCGGCTGTTGCGGTCGTATGATATTTGGTTCAGCTCGTGTGCTCTCTTTGCACTCGCTGGAGCCGACAGATAGGGCAGCGTATAGCGAGCTGGGCGAGGGAACGAGCGTCAGATAGCTCGGTATCCGGCGAATGCGAATTCCGGGATGCCGAGAGGCACAGGCGTATGAGAGGGCCCCTGCCCACTTGCGAGCTGCACGCTGAGTCGCTCCTTCAGCGCAGACGAGCTTCGGAGGACCCGGTCGCGGGCCTCGCGGGGAGACCCCACGTGTAGATCTGCTTGGGGGAGGAGCAAGGGGATGCTGTTATTGGCGACGGGTGCTCGTCAATGCTCGGATATCTCGCCAAGGTCAGCTATTCTCGCCGGCGAGTGCCGACGACCCCGTCCTCAGGGTCCGGCAAAGTGACATGACATGTCCGCGGCATCATACTCCCGACGACGACGAACCCAGATCCACACACACACACACACGCTGCCCTCGCTGCTTCATATACTTCAGCTCTTCTCGACTTTTCCTCTCAACCCTCTCCCCACCTCTCAAACACAAACAAAGCACAATGGTCCGCCTCGCTGCCGTCCGTCCCGCTGTCAACGCCATCACCTCCGCCCGCGCCATGAGCGTTCGTGGCATGGCCAGTGAGTAACCTAGCTCGCTTACCGCCGCTCCATCTGCCCCGAGAGCAGACGGAGCAGCGGCGGAGCTTTGGCAACCAAGTAAAGCAGTGCGCTGACAGATTCAGAGTTCGCTCTGTACAACTGGGAGGTGAGCCCCAACGCCCCGCTGCCATCTTGGAACTCCAGCTGACATTCAGGACCCGCTCAACATGGAGTCTCTCCTGACCGACGAGGAGAAGGCTATTCAGGAGACCGCGCGCGACTTTGCGCAGACCGAGCTCATGTCGCGCGTGACCGAGGGCTTCCGTACTGAGAAGTACGACCCGGAGATCATGAAGGAGATGGGCAAGCTCGGTCTCCTTGGCCCCGAGATCAAGGGCTACGGCTGTGCGGGCGCTTCGTCCGTCGCCTACGGCCTGATTGCGCGCGAGGTCGAGCGCGTCGACTCTGGCTACCGCTCGATGATGTCCGTGCAGTCCTCGCTGGTGATGCACCCGATCAACGAGTTCGGCACCGAGGCCCAGAAGGAGAAGTACCTGCCCAAGCTTGCCTCTGGCGAGTGGCTCGGCTGCTTCGGCCTGACTGAGCCGAACCACGGCTCGGACCCCGCCGGCATGGAGACGACGGCGACCAAGACGCCGGAGGGCTGGGAGCTGAACGGTTCCAAGACGTGGATCTCGAACGCGCCCCACGCGGACGTGTTCGTCATCTGGGCCCGTGTCGTCGAGAACGGCCAGAAGGGCAAGGTCCGCGGCTTCGTCCTCGAGCGCGGCATGGAGGGCCTCAGCACCGAGAAGATTGCCCACAAGCTCGCGCTCCGCGCCTCCGTCACCGGCTCCGTCTTCATGGACAGCGTCAAGGTGGGCGAGGGCGCGCTGCTGCCCAAGTCGAACGGCCTCGGCGCCCCCTTCTCCTGCCTCAACAGTGCGCGCTACGGTATCTCGTGGGGCGTGATGGGCGCTCTGGAGGACGCCACGGCCCGCGCCCGCGCCTACGCGCTCGAGAGGAAGCAGTTCGACCGCCCCCTCGCCTCGTTCCAGCTCGTGCAGAAGAAGCTCGTCGACGCCTCGACGGCTAGCACCCTCGGCCTCCTCGGCTCCTACCAGCTCGGCCGCCTCAAGGGCGAGGGCAACTACTGCCCCGACCAGATCTCCATGATGAAGCGCAACAACTGCGGACAGGCGCTCTACCACACCCGTGTCCTCCTTGACATCTTTGGAGGCAACGCGTGCTCGGACGAGTACCACGTCGGCCGCCACGAGGCCAACCTCCAGGTCTGCAACACGTACGAGGGCACTTATGACATTCACGGCCTCATCCTCGGCAAGGCCATGACGGGCCACCAGGCTTTTGCCAACTAATTTAAAAAACAACCAACATCTGGGTTTCGGGATTGTTTAGAATGTAGGATTCATGTATTGCATCGCACACAGCATACGTGAGCACGTGCGAGTACGAGTTGGGGCAGCGAGTAGATCCCCAGAGCACGACGGGAGGAGACGAGAGAAGCGAGGCGACGAGGAAACTGACACTGCATGAGTGGAGCCGAGAAGATGAGGCTGACGCTGATTGCATAGCTGGTCATCGTAAGCGACGACCTTATGTTGACCCGCCCGCTCCATGTCCGTCGACGGCCCAAGTGTTCCTGTCCCCGGTTGGGTGCCGAGTAGATCTGGCAGTCCGATGGTTCTGCGCCACAGCTCCCTTCATCTCATCTCCTGGGTCTGAGTGACGGTACCAGGTATTCAGTGCTCTATCCCAGTGCGGCTGCTGGACTTGCTGCACGTAGCGAAGCAATATGGGTCGTTCTTAAGATGCACGCCTGCCTGATCAGAGCCAATTAAACAGCCCGCTCGAACTGCTGCACGGCCCTTAGCCACCGACACCGTAATACACTGCAATCGTAACATCCTGCTTCTACTCTATGCTCTTAGCTGAACAGCTTGTTGACCGACGTGTTGCTCTCCGCGCCACGCTTCAACACCTTGGCGACCGCCATCTCAAAGTCTGTGCTTGTCAGTTACCGCACATCAGATGCTAAACTCACCCTCCTGTCCAACATACTGCCTGCGCTCGCGGAGCGCATACATGCCCGCCTCGGTACAGATGCCGCGGACCTCGGCGCCGGAGCAGTTGCCCATCTTCTCGGCGAGAGAGCGGAAGTTGATGCCGCGCTGGAGGGACATCTTGCGCGAGTGGATCTTGAGAATCGTAATACGCGCTTCCGGGTTGGGGGGCGGGAACTCGATCTTGCGGTCGATACGTCCTGGTCGCAGCAGGGCCGAGTCGAGAATGTCGATACGGTTCGTCGCCATGATGACCTTGATGTTCTTGGTCGGCTCGAAGCCGTCGAGCTGGTTCAGCAGCTCCATCATCGTGCGCTGCACCTCCGAGTCACCGCCGCCGCCGCCCTCTCCACCACGCGAGGAACCGATCGAGTCAATCTCGTCCATGAAGATGATTGAGGGAGCGTGCTCGCGCGCCATGACGAACAGCTCGCGCACCATTCGCGATCCCTCTCCGATGTACTTCTGCACGAGCTCGGAACCAGACACACGGATGAAGCGACAGTCGGTGTGGTGAGCAACCGCACGCGCGAGCAGCGTCTTTCCAGTTCCCGGAGGACCGTAGAGAAGGACACCCTTCGGCTGCGCGATACCGAGCGACTCGAACAGCTCCGGGTGCTTGACGGGCAGCTCAATGACCTCCTTGATCTCCTTGATCTGCTTGTCCAGACCACCAACCATCTCATACGTCGAATCAGGCACCTTCTCAACCATCATGAGCGAGACGAGCGGGTCGACCTTGTTCGGCAGAATCGAGTGGAGGAGGTACGAGTCGGCGCGCAGAGCTACACGCAGGTTCGGGGTGAGGGAAGACGCCGGGATGTCGGGGGAGAAGTCGACGACGTACTTGCCCTCGGGCTGCACCTTGACGAGAACCTTCTTCTTGCCCATCACCTTGATCACCTCGCCGACATAACTTCCCGGCTCCTGCAGCACCTGCAGCTCCTCGCGGAGAAGGCGCACTGCGCTGTCAGCTTCCCCACCGAAGAGATAGCTTACCTCGGGTGTTGAGGGCATTGCGCTGGGCCTCCAATCGTCGCAGGTTCTGGGTCTTCTTCGTGATCTCGTGCTCCGCCGCCTCGATCTTGTTCCTGTAGTAGGTCTGATATGTCAGCTGCCGATGGACCACGACGGTAGCTTCTACCAACCTTGAGACCGCTTCCGGCCATTGTAACCGGAGCCTTAGTGGACGCCATATTGTCAGATCCGCAGTGGTTAGCTGTTGTCGGAGCTGGTGATGGCGATGAAGCAAGTGGTAGACAATGAGGGGATGCTCGAGGATGGTGACTGAGCCGGCTCAATGTGTGACCTCAGTCAACCAGCGCTGACGACAGTGCGACTGAGCCATGACGGAACCAAAACCAGCAGCCTGTGGCAACACGCACGCCTATCGTCCACCCAGCGCGCGCCCAAAAGGTCCCGGTGGCGTGGAGGTCATCGCAGGACCGGTCAATGATGCATGCATGTCCGAGTTGCTGGAATCGTCATCTCGTGCACCACTCTCACTCCCCGATGCTTGCAAGGTTACGGACAAGGTATGCAAGTTATTCGCAGCTCCATTGAACTGACCCCAGACTTGCTGCTCTCTTCTTATTTCTAGCGCTGTTCGCAGTTGCCCAAGCAGCTGACTCGAAGCGACCAAACTACGTCCCTCATCCAGCGAGTGATCTCGTCTGTCGCCCCTTCGGCGAGTGCGAACCGTGTCCCGCAGATGATGTAAGTGAAGCTAGTTCGAGCCTGTTACAGCTGCTAACGTTCAGCTGGGCCAGCCGTTCTGTCAACCGTTCGGAAATCGCAGGTTGCTGCACTGTATCCCAGCGGACAAGAAGGATGACCCCAATCCACCGGGCGAGGTGCCGGCTTGGGAATCATGCGGCAAGGTTGTCAAGTTAGAACAGAGAGAGTTCTACGAGTTTGTCGTGAGTTATCAAGACCCCGGCGTGTCGGGCTCTAGCTAACCTCAGACCGCCAACCTGCTCTTCCTCATCGTCTGTCTCGTCATTTACTGGGTGCGGACGTCGACGCTGGCCACGCAGCAGTACCGACAACTCGCAGCCAGGATCGGCATCAGGGGAGGGATGGTGTAGACGACCGACGCCATCGTGTTGAGCGGAGCTATACCACCAGCGCTATGCGCTTGACCTTCACGCTCGACCTTTTGAGTCCACCCGGATTCCTGTTGGAGACCGCGCAGGCAGCGAGCGACCCCCGACTCCACAGGATAAGGGGAGGACATCTGGCGCTTCGCCCTAGTTCAAACGCAGCTTTGGCATAATCGACTGCCGACACATAGTCCAGGTCAACGACTAATATACCCCCACCGTAATCTTGATCTCACTTCGATTCCTCCCTTCTGTCCTTTATAGAGCCACGAATCGGTCTAGAGTCGCGTCCAATGCTATGTTGTATGCATATATCGTACATTAAGTGGTCTTGAGGAAGTTGGCGGCCCGGATGTTGGTACGGTTCCTGCGAAGAGTTAGATATCAGCTATGTACCCGCCAACTCACTGAGTGCGCAGACGCTTGCGCTCGGCGTGGAAGTCAAACTCGCCCTCCTTCACGCCCTCCTTCGCCTTGGCAGCCGCCGGGTCGTCCAGGAGCTTCCAGAGCCAATCCGGGTACTTGTCGTCCGCCATAGCTACCGGGTCCTCCTTGTCCTTGAGGACCGAAAGCCCCTCCATCTTCGTTCCCTCCTTCAATGACGAAACTGTCGCTGTTAGCTAAGGTTCAAGGCACATTTAAAGAACCTCACTTCCACGGGCAGCCTTCTTAGGAGCCGGAGGTGCTGGTGACTCGGCCTCCTCGGCTTTTGAGATCGGTGTCGAGGCGAAGGAGCGGAGGGCAGGGGTGAAAGCGGGGCGCGCCAGGCGGACAGCGGCGGAAAAACGGGAAAGCATGGTCGGCAGTTCAATTTCTCTGTTCTAGCTAACCCCAGAACAGCCTTGTAGTGTGTCTAGATGTTGTTGTCGACGATGCAAGACGCCGTTCTGGACATTTTCTGAACGTTGAACCATTGAACCGGCCGTCGGATCGCTGTCGATCGACCAATAGCCACGCGGCGGCGTTAATTTAGTTCCGTCTGGTAGATTTTAGAGCGCGCGTCGACGTGCCCGTTCATGCATCCTCACTATCACCCGTGACAGATTAAGAGTCACAATATCCACCCATCCACCCACCATACTTGACTTACACCACGAGAGTGCGCAGTGTGCAATGCCCTTATGGCTCTACAGGTCCATGGTAGGGATCGTGCCTCTCACCCCAGCGCCGACAAGGGGGGATCAACAAACCGCTCGCCGTGTGAAGTGCTTCGGCCCTGCCTTTGCGGAGGTTTGCCCCCCTCTCACCAAATGCCCAGCAACCGGTGAGCGGCGTGACCTGGTAAGTCTGCGGTCGGTGCCAATGTTTGGGCCGACTGCAACCACGTGACTTGACCCGGCGCCGTAACAGACGGTCATACTCGGCCGCCGGCAATAGTCACGTGCTTCCAAACACCCAATGCCTTCGGGCCCCACTCGGCCTACGGGCATCCAACCTATTCTCATTCCTCACGTGCTCTGGCACCACGTGGCAGCCCCAGTGGCGGCCCGTGCAAGGTCAGCCAGCCATGGCGTCTCGACGCTATGGCCCACTTGCATGCACGACATGCTGCCCCGTGGACGTGATGCCCCACGGCGAGCGCATAAGCCACTGTCGTACCACACCGCTCTAACAGCGACGGACATGCATGCTTTCCATTCCGCCGAAAAGGCGACGCTCTTCCGCCTTTCGGCGACGACTTTCCACCAATACGGTGATGCACTAATTCGCACTGCTGACCAGTGCCGACGGCTATGCAGCCACTGGCTAGCTGTCCACCGTGATCGCTGTATATATAGCGGACGGTAGAGTACCTTGCTAAACAACAGACACACACGACACCATGTCTACCGACGACAACAGCTCCGGTTCCTCGGCCCTGCGTTCCATCACCAAGCTTCGTGGTATGGACTCCTTCGTTCAATGGGAGACGCAGATCACCGCCTACCTCATCCATCACGGCGCACACGCAGCTGTGCTTGGACTCCTTGCCGAGCCCAACCGTCGAGCTGTCGACCCTCTCGTCCCAGGCGACCACGAGATCGTTTTCCCTACTGGCCATTACGCCGGCCTGCTAGAGCCCAACGACGATCAACGCCTTGGCGCATGGACCCAAACTCTCCGTGCTGCCTGGACCTCTTGGCAAAAGGCCGAGAACGTCGCTCGCGGTGCCATCTACTCGACTGTCGAGCGCTCTGTACTCAGCCAGTACAAGCAGCTGTGGTCCGCGCATGACATCTTCGAAGCTCTGTGCACCCAGTTCCGTCTGGACACGGCTGAACGCAAGTCAGCCCTCAAACTTCGACTCAACAACCTCTACCTCAGCAACGTGCTGCCCGAGTCGATGCGTGGTCACCTCAAGTCCTTCAACGACATCTGCAGTGAACTGGAGGACATCGAGGCACCCATCTCCGAGAAGGAACGACTTGAAACCTTCTTCAACTCCGTTCACCGATCTCTCGAAGAGCCTCTTCGATCTGAGTTCCGAGCCTTCCCCGTCGATCAGCAGACCTGGGCTCACTTCACTCGTCTTGTGACTGAGAAGGCCGATCGTATTGCTCGACAGAATGAACGTGCTGCTGCTTCCACCAACACACCCGCAGTTTCGGCTCTTGTCAGCAAGGACGGACTCGACAAGGCGAAGAAGCGCTCTCGCGCCAAACGCGGAGGCGGCAACAATGGCAACCGCTCCAGCTCCAACGACAACAATCATCGAAACCAGAACAACAAGCAGCCGCGCAACAACTCCTCGAGACAGCAGCATGCCCAGACTGGCATGTTCTGCACTCACTGTGAGCGCGACTCTCACAACACCGCGGACTGCCGCCGCAAGGCCGCAGGCTTGCCCTCTCGCAAGGCCATCCAGGAGTTCGAATACAGCTTCCAGCAGAAGCGTACGCCTCGATCCAACGACGGCATATCAAACCTCAGTGCCCTTGCTCATCTCTCGGCCATCACATCCTACGAGTCCAGCAGCCTTGCCTCAGTCTCCCACGACTCTGAGTGCATTCCCCTCATCATCGACACTGGCGCGACTCACCATGTCGTGGCCGACAGATCCCTTCTACGCTCCATCGTGAAGGTTGATCCTCCTCGCCGCTTCAAGGTTGGCAGCAGCAACACTCTGTTCTTCGACTCATCAGAGATCGGAACTCTCACCTTCGAACACGGCAAGGACGTCATCACCATCCCTGATGTCTACTACGCACCAGTGTTAGGGGAGAATGTCATCTCCGACATTGCCCTCGAACGCACTGGCTGGATCCTCGACACCATGGGCCGCAAACTCTTCAACGGTGATACGAGCATTGCCATCGAGCGTGCCCAAGGCATGTTCGGCGGCCGCTTCCACACTTGGGTCCCAAAGCATGGCACCCTCTCCTCTATGACGGCCACCCTGCCAGCTGGCTTCGATTCGCCACTGTTCCAGCTTCACCGGAAGCTCGGCCACCTTGGACGCTCCACGTTACTCAAGGCTGCAGAGGACAAGCTCCTTGGTGACGTCTCACTGGCAGCTCTTCGGCGTGACCGTTTCACGCTTGCAGCCTGCGACACCTGCCAGGAAGCCCGTGGACAAGCTCTACCAAAGAAGAGTACCAGTCCCCGAGGTTCCAAGTCAGGGGAGCGTGTCCATGCCGACATCAAAGGCATGATGCAACCATCCATCAATGGATGCCAGTATTGGCTTGGCTTCGTAACCGACTTTACTGGCCTACGACTTGCCTTCCCCATGTCGGACAAGACCAAGGCATTTCCCCAACTCAAAGCGGCCATCTTGCAGTTCGAACTACACAGCCAGATTCGAGTTGCCTTCGTTAGGACCGACCGAGGAACCGAGTTCACAAGCGGAGAGGCTCAAGACTGGTTCACGTCCAAAGGGATCATTCACGAAGTCTCTCCTCCCTACGTCCACGAACTCAATGGCGTAGCTGAACGCCTCAATGGTTACATGGCCACCATGCTCCGCTGCATGCTCATCGGAGCTGGCCTGCCCCACGAATACTGGGAGTACGCCTGCACCGCTGCCAACATGGTCCTCAACGTTACAAGAAAGAACGAGGAGAACAAGACCCCATGGCAATACTGGTCCAGTCGCCCCCTGAACGTCGTCAAGCTACTTGAATATGGGCTTGTCGTCTATGCCCTGGTCCTTCGCCCTGCACCGAAGAATCAACCAACCCACAAATCAGACCTCACTGTCCCGAAGCGAGTCAAGTGCCGTATTCTCTGCTTCTCACCTCGGGCCAGTGCATGGCTTGTCCTCGTAGAACACAACCGTGAGGTTGCTGTATCACGAGACATCTCCCTCTCTCCGACTCACGCCCCTCGTGAGAAGCTTCCTCCTGCCCCTCCTGTCTATCGCGGCTCCGTCGAGCCCAAGACTGACGCAGTGCCTGCACCCTATCGACACCCCCAGCTTTCAGCTGTGGCGATCACCAACTCTATCGTCGAAGGGGAGGAGACCCATCACCTGGCCTCCATTGCAGCTGAGCAAGCATTCTACGACGAAGATCCTAAGACTGTCGCTGAAGCTCTAGCCTTGCCTGACGCTGAGCAATGGATTGAGGCGATGAAGAAGGAGATCGACAATCTCGTTGGCAAAGGCACCTGGTCCGAAGCCAAGTTACCCAAGCACAAGAAAGCAGTCACTGCTAAGTGGGTATTCAAACGGAAGCGCGATGCAGATGGCAACGTCGTCAAGTACAAAGCAAGACTTGTTGGCCGCGGTTTCTCTCAGATCCCTGGTGTCGACTTCGAGGAGACCTACGCCCCCGTTGGTCGCAGCACATCCTTGCTCCTCATCCTCAGCATCGCTGCTCGCTACAACCTAGAGCTCCGCCAAGCCGACGTAGAAGGTGCTTACCTCAATGGCACCATCGACATCGAGACCTACCTGCTTGCCCCCGACGGCGTTGAACTCGAGACCCCTGGCATGGACTGCCTTCGTCTACACAAGACCATCTACGGCCTTCGGCAATCTGGCCGCGCCTGGTGGCTTGAGCTGATGCAAGCTCTACAGCAGCTCGGCTTCACACGCTGTGAATCTGACTGGGGAGTCTACGTCCTTCGGAACTCCGATGGTACCCCAGCAGCTTTCCTCTTGGCATATGTGGACGATCTTATTCTCGCGACCTCCACCAAGCACGAGGCTGACATCGTCGTCCAAGCCCTCTCAAGCTTCTGGAAGATCTCTGATCTAGGGGAGGTTACGCACATTCTCGGGATGAAGGTCGGACGTGATCGCTCTGAGCGGACGATTCACCTCTCCCAGGCTACCTACATCGACCAGCTTGTGACTCGCTTCAAGGCTGAGAACATCAAGTCTGGCAAGTACGCTCCTCTCCCTCAAGGGGAGCTACCCGCGCCGAGCAATGTGGCTGAAGACGCAGTCCCTGCTCGCGCGAAGATCTACAAGGAACTTGTTGGTGCACTGCTGTGGCTTAGTGGTCGCACCCGCCCCGACATTGCATTCGCTGTCTCTTACCTTGGTCGTAGTGCTTGCGCTCCCACGGAACAGCATCTGGCTTTGGCACGCCGAGTCTTAGCGTACTTGAGGTACACTCGTGATCTCGTCCTGACTCTTGGCGGTACTGAAGATCCACTCCAACTTTTCGTTGACTCGGACTGGGCTGGATGTGTGCAAACGCGTCGCTCAACTACAGGGTACTGTGTATTCCTCTTCGGCGGACTAGTTAGCTGGTGCTCGCGAAGACAGGGGAGCACAGCAGCTTCCACTATGGAAGCTGAGTATGTTGCCCCAGCCGAAGCAACTCGTGAGGTAGTGTGGCTCCGTGCCCTACTCTCCGAGCTCGGCTTGCCACTTCTCGGCCCCACTGTCGTCAACATCGACAACGAGGCTGCCTTGAGATTGGGCAACAATCCGACTGTCTTTGCACGGTCGAAGCACATAGACATTAAGCACCACATCGTGCGTGAGAAGGTTGAGGACAAGATCATCGAGCTTCGCTACATCCCTACCGATGAGCAGAGAGCCGATATCCTCACCAAATCTCTTCCAGGCATCAAGCATACCGCGAACACTCGCGATCTTGGCCTGACGATCAAAACAAACCCCTGAGTTCCGAGTCATGCATGCTCCTCACCGCACGAGGTTTGAGGGGAGTGTCGATCGACCAATAGCCACGCGGCGGCGTTAATTTAGTTCCGTCTGGTAGATTTTAGAGCGCGCGTCGACGTGCCCGTTCATGCATCCTCACTATCACCCGTGACAATCGCGAAAATAATCGGTGTCATTTCACCAGCAGCCCACGTGGCCACACACGGTCGTGCCTGGTTCCGTTATCAAGTCTTGTCGACGCGTTTGTTGTTGGTGAACGCGTCTGGTTGATTTCTCCCATCCCCAGCACCACCAGCTCTCTCGCACCGACACCATGGCAGAGGCTTCCGCTGACGCCATTACAACTATCCCATGCCACCTTGCTGGTATCACCAGGGTGGCCTTCTCGCCTGACGGATCGTGGGTTTTCAGAAGGCTTCGGCGCTGACATGCAGGACGATCTTCACGGGCGGCACGGATTGTCTGGTCCGCATTCACAACGTCGCGGACCCGGATTCTGAGCCGGGATTTCATGACAACCACACCGATGCTATCACCTCTCTCACTGCTAGCAAGGACCACCTTGTCACTGCCAGCGCCGACAATGTCGCGCGCCTCTTCACCTACCCCGCCAACGAGTTTGAAGGCTATGTGACGCGCTCGCCAGGAGTAGCCATTCGATGGGTCGCGATGGACCAGAAGGGAGAGCAGGTGGCCGTTTGTAGCGAGTGAGTCGACCCCTCGAAATCTGCTGACTCCAGTGACCTCTTGGTGAAGATTGTCAATGTCCGTGACACCACGAAGGTGTCCCTGCTCAGCGACAACATCAAGCCTGTCCGCTCTGCTGCATGGGACCCGGAGGGCAAGTTCCTCGTCACCGCCGGATGTGATGGCAAGATCAAGATCTACGACACCACCGGCACTGCGCCCGCTTGCGTCAAGATTATGGAGGGCATCATCGGCCAGACCGACGTTGAGTGAGTTTCCTGGAAGGTATCGAAACTGACAAGACAGCTCGCAGTCGTCGACTTACGTTTCATGGCACCCCAGCGGTAACTACTTCGCCGTTCCCCTCCGCACCAACGACATCGGTATTATCGCGAAGGACGGATGGGCCAAGCTTCCTACCTTCAGCCAGGATGGCCACAAGGGCCCCGTTAGCGAGCTCGCGTGGTCGCCGAATGGCAAGTACCTCGCCACCGCCGCTGGCAACGAGATCATTGTGTGGAAGACCGAGGGCCGCCAGGTCGTATCGAGGTACACTTACGAGGACGGGGAGGTCTCTGGTCTCGTGTGGTCGCCGAAAGACAACATGATCGCGTTCACGGCTCTCGACGGTAGCTTTAACCGATGGAAGGAGCCTGTTCCTTCCGACGAGGTCTCGCCTGTTCTCTCGGACGCCGCGGTCGCGAAGAAGGTCGACAAGCTCCTCGATGACGGACTGTTCGGAGATGATGACGATCTGGATGACCAGGGAGAGGACCTCGGAGAGGATCTCGGCGATGACTGGATCGTTGATGACGACGGCGGCCTCGGAGCCATCGATGACAGCGAGGACAAGTGGACCAAGGGGCGAACAGAGGTTGTCAATGTGACCAAGGCGCAGCCCGCGTTCGTTCCTGGTGCGACGGAGTGGCGATCGAAGAAGCGCTATCTCGGTGAGTTGCGCCCTTCTGAAGTGTGCTAATGAAGCAGCCTTCAACATGATTGGTGTTGTCGACGTGACCGACCAGGAGACGCACAACGTCGTCAACGTCGAGTTCCATGACACGTCCGCTCGCCGCGGATACCACTTCAGCGACCACAACAAGTACTCGATGGCCTCGCTCGGCGAGCAGGGAATCGCGTATGCTGCCCCATCTGACAAGGAGCTAGGTACGCCATCTGTCGTGCACTACCGACCCTATGACTCGTGGGGAAGCTCCGCGGAGTGGACAGTGAACCTTCTTGACGGAGAGGAGCCGGTAGCGATTGCTGCCGGCGGACCTGCAAACGGCATGGGTGCTGTCGTGGTCGCTACGAGCCGCGGCTTCGTGCGCTTCTTCTCGGCTGGTGGAATCCAGCGCTACATGTGGCGGTTAGGAGAGGACGTCGTCACCATGGTCGCCGGCAAGGAGTCGGTGCTCATCATCCACCGTGAGGGAGGAACGACGCTCGACGGATGCCAGAACCTGCACTACTCGCTTCTCGACATTGACTCATACGACGTCGTCCAGGAGGGCCGCGTTCCTTCTGCCGCGAAAGGTCACCCTCACGTGGGCGGGCATCAACAACCTTGGTGCCCCCGTCATCTACGACTCGGACGGACTGCTCAGCGTGCTCGACCGATTCCGCAGACCGGGGCAGGCCCGCTGGGTGCCGCTCTTTGACGCCGAGATGCTTCGTGACGCTGCCAAGAAGGAGACCTATTGGCCCGTCGGTGTCACCGACTCGCACTTCAACTGCATCATTCTGAAGGGATTCGAGAAGGAGCCGTGGTTCCCTCGTCCGCTCATCCAGGAGCTCGACCTCCGCATGCCGCTTCTTGGTCTCGACAATGCGCAGGCGCAGCTCGAAGAGAGCGTGGCCCGCAGCTCTGTGGAGCTCAACCTGACTGCCGAGCCGAGCCGCGAGCGCACGGTCAACATTGACAAGGAGCTGCTCCAGCTCGTGCAGGGTGCGTGCAAGGCTGATCAGCTCGCCCGTGCGCTGGACCTCACGCGGCTCATGCATTCGACCTCTACCCTGGACGCCGCCATGAAGCTGGCAACCTTTTACCACCTCCCTGGCTTCCAGCAGCGCATTGCAAAGGTGAAGGAGGCGAAGGAGCGGGAGCCAGTACGTCAGGTGAGGGAGTACGGCTACACCGCGCCGCGACCAAGGGAGAGCAACGGAGGCGAGCGAGTGGAGCGGCAGTTTGGAGACTTTGCGCCGTCGACCCGCAAGCGCTCCTTCGCTGGCAAAGGCAACGGCAACGCCCGTGCGCACACACCCCAGGCGTCTGCTCAGACGTTCATCCCGGAGACCCCTGACGCGGAAGACGAGTACGCCGGTGACAACAGCGCGATGCTTCTGGACGATATGGAGGAGCAGGCTGCCGAGTACGAGGAGTCGTTCACCAGCCCGCCGGTCAAGCGGAAACGCGAGGCAGAGTCGTCGCTCCCGAGTCTGCCGAGTCTCCAGCCAGCGTTCTCCAAGGAGGCACCGAAGAATCCCTTCGCGAAGAAGCCGCCGGCATCCAACCCGTTCGCGCGCCCCGGAGGCACGGCCAAGCCGCTCGACTCGGTGAAGAGCACAAGCTTCTTTGACCGTGTCGATGACATTGAGGCGCACAAGCCAAAGAGGGGCAAGCTGGCGATGGGCGCAAAGGACAAGAGCAAGCAGACGTCGCTGAGCTTTGCCAAGAAGCCTCCGCTCCGTGCTCAGGATAGTATGACTGAGACGGAGGAGGAGAGCCTGGGTGTGCTGGAGGAGACGGACAGCAATCTGCAGGAGACGCTTGTGGACGAGCCCGAGAGCCTGTAACAGATGGAAGAAGATATCACCATGTACAAGTAGAGACGAGACGGTATGCATCGATGTGTAGAGCTTGCAGGGATCGGGAATCAGGCTGCACTGGCTGGAGAGGGTATCGAATTACAGGAACCAGTAGTAGCAGTCGTGCCACAAGGACACAGCGTTACGGACGCGTTGACCCGCCCGTCCGGTGAGACCCTTACCGGCTGAGCCGAGGCGGTCCCTTGTGACGGCCCCTTGAGCGGGCCCTACCTCGCGTCTATCTTTCCTTTTCGACGCGACACTAATACAATTGCATACCCATCACTTCCGATGCAGCCTCGTCTACTAGCATGCCGGATCCTCCCCTCCCTCTTGCGACGCATGCTTCTTGTATTCGCTTCATCTCTCTCTTTCTCTCTCGCTGTGGACAGACTCACACCCAGACTCAACTAATCTCGGCGCGCGACACGACCGGAACACGATCATTCACACTCCCCTGTGCTCGCCCTGTCCACGTCCGACTCCATCGCGCTAAGGGGCCGCACGGACACCGACCCGCCCGGCCCACGCCACCTACACGTCCTCCTCTCTCTCACTCTTGCACACTCTCGCACAGTCACACGCTCGTCCCCTCACCAGACACGCACGAGCTTCCCATTAGTCACTCCCGTCACTCCCTCATCTCATCTCTCGCTATCTCTGCCCTCACCCACACACTCCCTCCCCTCGCTCCTCCGTTCCTCGTTGATATCTAGACCCCCTCGCCCGATACCACAGTCTCCTCGCCCTTTGCCCCCCTCCCCTCTTTGCAGCACCAGAGGGTCCTTCCCTTCCCACCACCCCTGCTTCGCTCGCTTCACGGCCAAGTCGCTACCATGTCCAGCCCCTCTGTCGACCGTTCTAGCGCTTACCGACCTCCGACACAGCGCAAGCCGTCGTCGACATTGGGCAAGCCCAGTCCCAACGCCAAGCCTGGCACTCGCACCCCACGAGCGCCTTCAACGAGGGTTAACGCTCCTCCCACGCCCGTCACGCCCTCCCCGTTCAAGGCGCGCTCGCGACCCGCCTCCGCCGCTGGCAAGCCCGGTACGCCCAGTGCCCCCAGCATCAGCGCCAGCGCCAGTACGAATGCAAGTGCAAGCGCATCTGGCACTGTGACGCCCGAGGAGCCCGCAGCCGAGCGTGAAACCGATGCGGGCGCGATCTCCCCCAAGGGCCACGAGGCTCCGATCTCCCTCGCTGCTTCGACCGACACACTCGTTGACTCTAAGGAAGTTAAGGAGCAGGAGGTTAGCGAAGTCCCGGAGATCAAGGAGATCCCGGAGATCAAGAGCGACACTCCTGCTGTGAACGTCGAGGCCGCTGAGGTGAAACTTGAAGACACGCCGCCGCCCACTGTCGAGCCCGAGGTCAAGGAACAGTCTTCGTCTCAGACTGACAAGACCGTTGAGGAGACCCCTGCAGCCGCCAAGGACACCGACGCTTCCAAGATCGAGGAGCCAGTTGCGACCAAGGAGACCGAGGAAGCCTCCGAGCCCAAGACGCCCACGCTGGAGGAAGCTTCGAAGACTCCCGTCACCCCTGCCGCCGAGAAGGAGGACGTCCCCGCCGCCACCGCCGCCAGCACCGAGTCTGTGCCCGTCCCCGAGACCCAGGACAGCGCCATGAACGCGGCCACCACCCCCCAGACCCCCGTTAGCAACCTGCTGACGGCTGCTGCTCTCACCAGCTCCAACAAGGATTGGAGCGAGCGTGACGATGACGCTAGCAGCGTCGCTGGAAGCGTTGCCGCGAGCATCTCGGGCAGGAGTGCCAAGGGCTCGAAGGAGAAGAAGGAGAAGAAGACCAAGGAGGTCCCCAAGGGTGGGATCCAGCTGGGCAACCACGTTATCCACCCGCGAAAGCCCGGAGAGGCAGTGCCAGAGTGGACGCCTCAGCAGGCGACCCAGCCAGCGAAGCCGAAGGAGAGGGACGAGAACAAGGTCAGTTGCCCATTGGTGATGCTGAACTGACCTCAGACTGCGGAGATTCTCAAGCGTCTGCACGCCCTCGAGGGCAAGCCGCCGACGTCCAGGAAAGCGTCCGTTTCGAACGTCAACGGTGCTCCCGAGCCGGCTCCCGCCGGTCCGTCGCAGGCTGAAATCCAGGCCAAGATCGAGTCTCAGTACAAGGAGCTGCTGGGCAAGGTCGAGGGCAAGATTGCGGAGCAGCAGTCCAAGCTCGAGGGTCACCTGGCTGCTCAGCGGAACAAGCTGGAGGCGCAGCTGCTGAACCAGCAGGCCAAATTTGACTCACAGCAGTCCAAGCTGGACGCGCAGCTTGCTGCCCAGGACCGCAAGGTGGACATGAGGATGGGAGAGCAGAACACGTCCCTGCAGGCGGCTATGGAGACTTTCATGACCGTGGAAGCACGTGCTGCTGAGCAGGCCTCGCACCAGGACGCTTGGGCCTCGCGCATCGAGGACGAGCAGGACGGTTTAGAAGCCCGCCTTGCCGCTCTTCGCGGTGAGGTTTCTCGCGTTGGACCCATGATCGCTGCCAGTGAGTCGGCCGTTGACGAGCGTGTGACTGCTCTCACGAACGACGTCAACAACCGCCTCTCCGCCGCCACTTCCGCCTCGCAAGCCTTTGAACAGCGCCTCGAGGGCCGCCTCAAGTCTCAGGAAAGCGACGTCGGCCGCTCCATCTCCAAAATTGCATCGCTCGAGAACAAAATGAAGGAGTTTGCAGCCCTCGAGGCGCGGCTAGCCGATCAGCAGAAGGCGCTCGATGCTCAGCTTCTGGTCGCAGCCAAGCTTGAGGGCAGGCTGGGAGAAATCGACCAGCTGGCCAATAAGGTCAAGGCGGTGCAGGCCTCCCTGGACGACCAGATCGCACGCAACGCCAGCCTCGAGGAGACTTTGAAGAAGCAGCAGGCGCAGATCGATGCGGCCGCGAAGGAGCAGGAGCAGCTGGAGATTCGCCTGTCGATAGTGTCGAAGCGCGAGGAGCAGGCCACTTCTACCGTCGGCGCTCTTCAATTCGTGAGTTATCTTGCTGTTGGAAATGAACTGACATTCAGCGCGTTAACGAACTCGAGCGCCGCGCGCGTACTAGTGCTGCCCGCGAGGGACCTCTGCTCGCTGGAGCGATCACTCGCCTCGTGCTCGCTCGCTTCGAGCCGAAGCGTCTCGCCGCCTGCGACCCCAGCAAGGTCGTCAACCTTGCTCGCTCGACTCTGCTTCCCGACGCCAAGGGCCGCGTTGTCTCGAAGCACTACGCCAAGGAGACCCAGCCCATCTTTGCTGAGCACCACCTCCGCTCCCTTTTCGCCAACGCAACGCCAGGCGCGATCCTGTCCGACGGCGCTGTTCTGTCCATGGCGATCGAGGCCGCCCGGACTGCAGCCGATGCCGCGCACGAGGAGGAGGAGAAGGCTGTCGAGTGTTCGCTCGAGCTCTCTCACGCGAGCGAGGCGGCAGTGCACCCCGGCGCCGACCGGGATGCGGCCGAGCAGCGCCTGCTCGCGGCGCACGAGGCGCTGCAGGTCGCGCAGGAGAAGCGGATGCTGGCGGTGCAGGAGCGGGATCGCGCGGAGAACCTGGTCAAGATTGTGCTCGCGTGCTGCAAGGACGTGGAGCGCGCGTGGAGCGCGGTCGAGGACCCGACCGAGGAGGAGAAGAAGAAGTACGACGAGTTCCTGCCGCGCGTCGAGAGCGTCGAGCTCGAACTGGCCCTCAGGGACGACACGGCCAGCGAGTACGTCCAAGTGTAGATTTTGCAATACCTAAGTCCATGTATAATGCCGTTCTTCATGTCTCTGCGTTCTCTTCCTGGCTCCTCTGATGCATGCATCAGCTGCTCATCTCAGCAGCTATCGACGGGTGGGGAGTGGAGACCCCGCACTGACCACCAAGATGAGCGGACACAAATGCCAACCTCCACTCTGAGCAAGATGACCAAAGCACAAAGTGGAGGTGGTGATTTCGACACTTTGTCAACAAGCACCCACAGACCCACATCCACAATGCCGACCCCGGTCCTCGTCCTCGACAACGGGGCCTACACGATAAAAGCAGGCGTAGTGGGTCAAGATGGGGATCCGAGGTGAGTCCGTGATTCCTCTGCTTTCTCTTCACCAACCCCTGGTGTCTTCCCCGTCCGGGCGGTGTACCCCCTCGCAGCGAGTGTCGCACGAGCGACGCAGCGCACCGCAGCCCCCTTCCTCCCTCAAGTCTCCTTCATCAGCCCCATTCATGTTCTTAATCGAATGTATTTGGGGGCTCGTCGCAGCTGTGTGGGGTTCATTGTAAGCTGACTCGCAGACTCTTCCCTAACGCCGTCGTCCGCTCGCGCACAGACCGGCGTGTCTACGTCTCGGACGAAATCGAGCAGTGTCGCGACTTGAGCGGGATTGCGTACCGAAGGGCTTTTGAGAGGGTAAGCTGGCATGCGTGTTGGAGCTGACAGTACAAGGGCATGCTTACGACTTGGGATGCGGAGAAGCCGGTTTGGGATCGGATATTCTCAAAGGATGGGATGGACGTGAGTATGCCTTCCGC